ATGTACACACTGTCATAAGATCGATCATGTTCTTTGTATGAGAGACAATTGAGCCTGTCTTGTGTCCAGTTAGGTGGCTAAATGGAGCGCGCTGACGGCTAATCTGCGTTCTTGACAATGGCAGCCTTTCGATAAGCATTATTGGCAATGAAGCAAAGTCTATAATGTAGACATTGGCGGCTACGGCAGTTTTGTAGTGGCCGTAGTGAGTCGCAGTGCTTAAAAAACGATTTAGCCGACGGCAATGAAGTGTTAGCTGGTTTATTGTGTGTATTATTTTATTCGCTGTGCCTTTCACGTTCTCTTGGTTTATATAGTGCAATAATGTGATTTTTAAATTTATTTTTATTTTTGCACTTTTGGAATGAATGAGGGGGTGAGGTGCTATTTTGGGGGAAATTTTTTAATTGTCTATCTTTACTTTTTTTTAAATTTCGTTATATTATGTATTCATACATAGACTTCCGAATAAAGGAGGAGTAGAGATGATTTTATAGATCTAGTCTTTGATTTTTTTTTTCAGATACAAGTTAGGAATGAGAAAGAGGTGTGGTGGAGGGGGAAGGGGGTAAAAAGATTTCCTAACACAAATTAGGGAAGGGTGGCAGTTGTATTAATTGTCTTCAGATATAACCTTTGAATAGCTTGCTGCTTTAGTTAAATACCCTGATTGTTACGAACAAGTCAAGCGTTGAAGGGGGTCTTACCGGCGTCTTTGGTGTACTGCCGAAAGCTGACATAACATCGTTTTCCATTTTGGCGCCAACACTTTGTGTTTGCGAAATCGAAAGCCTGATCAGGTACCCTACTTGTCTGAAAAAATCAAACTGAAACTGAGACTAAATCTAGTTTTTGAATAAATTAGAATTCAAATTTCAAAAGAGCACTATTTTTAGACGCTGACAAAAAAATCTTTTTCTCGAAACTGCTGCGAATTTTTTAAAAGGCGTTTTGTCAGCCTGCAGCAGTGTAGCGGTTAGGTGCTTCGCTGTCGCATGCAGGAGACCCGAGTTCGATTCCCAAGTGGGGAGAACATTTGTATCGAGTACCTCGGTTTTTCTGCGGGGATGTTTCCCTTTCAGCCCAGATTGACCCTGACAGACAGGATCGAAAAACACTTTCATTTTAAAAAAGTAAAGGGGATTTTAAAAATTAGCTATGTCGCGAGTGGGGCATGCTTTCCTTGTTGAAGAGTACTGTTCACAATCCACAAGAGTTTACCCAAGAGCGGGAGGGGGGGGGGCAATCTTCTTTCAACGTTGGCCTTGTTCAGTTTCATCATCATCGGCGATCATGGTTCTTTTATTTCCTTGCTCGGATGCTCTCCAAAAAGTTACTTTATCCTGATCCTTCCCGTCACCCATCTGTTTAGACTCTCCAAGTAGGTTTCTCTGGGTCTAACCTTCCCTCGTTTGCTTCAATTTTGTCAGTGAGACCAAGATGTTCAAGGTTCTATGACAATTAAAGTGTCCCCTAAACTACTTAATTTGTCATTCCTGATCGTTTTTTATCAGCAAGCGGCCCACGTGGGCTTCTTCAAGTAGTACCTCATTTGATTTCTTTTCCTTTCAAAAAAAATCTCAGTAGTCTCCTAAGAAACCACATTGTTCTCTTTACACCTCTCTTTTATTCTAAGTTTGCATACAGCAAAAGCAGATCCTGATTACTTATTTATGTGTAACAAAAGAGCTTGAAACTTTTTCTAAAAACAACTAAAACGAAACTGCAAATATGTCATTCCAGAGAAGGAGTCATAGATTATTGGTGGGCGCCCTGGTGTGGTTTTTTCTTTCTATCCTATCGTCCTTGTCTCTACTCCTTCTTTTCTATGTACGTTGCCCTCTAGTTACACGGTACCTCTAATCTCCGACACGATCTAATTTGTGTTGCAAGTGGTATAAAACTCTTACTGAAGCTGAAACTAAAGCTAAAATTAAAACAGGACCATTTGGTGTAATGGGATGGAGAGCGTAGACGAAGATCGGGGACCGAACGCCGCAGAGATAAAACATCAATGTTGACAGGAAAGGGCGGGGTGGAGGTTGTGAAATTAAAACCACTTACGTCAGTGCACTTTTCTTAACCTCAGCGGATAGACTCGAGCTCATTATGCGTGTAAATCAGTGCAGAAATTTTTGGGTCCGTGAATCGAAATAATCAGTATGGTTATGTCTTTTTATTGAGCGGCCACTGAGGTGTGTCTGTCCTTGAACAAAGACTCGAATAGTTCTGACCTGGGCACTGCGCCGTGGCAACAAGGAACGAAGGAGCTAACGCTTGGAAGGCTGTTTTCTGTTTGATTTTATTGGCTCCACGTCACTGGAAAAGAAAATTCCCAGCAAGAACCTACATTTACACTTTACGGTATCTTCTTTCTTTCTTTATCTCTTTCTTTCTTTTCTCCTTTCTTTCTTTATCTCTTTTTTTCTTTGTTTTTCTTTTTGTCTTATTAATCTCTTTTACCCTTTTCTTTGGTGCTTACCTGCTTTTTTTTGTTTTATTAAAACTTTCTTTCCGGGGTTTTTTCTTTCCCTCCTTCCGTTCTTTTTCTTTGTTTTTTTTTTTCCTTTTTCCTTTTTTTTCTTTCCTAAGGAATAAAACTATCCATTGACATCTTTGTTTCTTCCACAGATACCTTGAAGACTACAAAGAACCTTTGATCTGGCTAGCAGAGACAGACAACAGTGAACCATACATTGGTGCTGTGTGCAACCGCTTCCCGGACACGCTCGTCATCTCCTACCAAGATTGCCCATCTGAGACCATCGAGCACTTCATCTGCCTCACTCGCCGCAGCTCGCCAGCGGTCAAGAAAGTCGTTCTGTACATGTCCGGCTTCTACACACAGTGGGACTTGGGTCTGCGCCTAGCAGAAGCGCTGCTGGAGCTGAAGAACCTGTCTGTGTTACACATCAGCATGAAGTGTGTTGTGGAGACGTCCTTCCTCGTGGACTTTGTCTGTGAGTGTTTCGAGAAGAACGACCACGTGGAGACGCTATGTTTAGAGGGACCCATGAATGTAGCTGAGAACCTCTCATCGGCGGAGCATAAGCGAGTGCAGCGCGTGTTTCGTGACCCCCGTGTACAAATGAAGGCGTTGGTGTTGGATCACTTCAGCTACCACCACAGGGTGGGCTACCTCCTCGACTGCTGGCCGGACATTCTGGAGAAACTGCAGATTAAAAAATGTAACATCGACAACGTGTCCGAGAAGATCAACCAGAAAATTTCTCGGTGCCCAGATCTGGCTTGTCTCACTCTGGACAACTGCTTCGTGCCAATCAGCACACTGCTGAACATCGTGCGTCACGTAAGAGACCACGCCCACTCTCTGAAACTGACCACTCTTGAGTTCACCTTCCTCTCCTCTGCAAGGAAGTTTAACAAAGGCGATGTTAAAAAGTCAGTATTCAAGTCAGCGATTTCCCCAGAAGTGTGTGAGACTCTGGCGAGTGTAGTCCAAACGTCAACCACCATCAAGCACTTGCTGCTCAGCTACAACAGCTTGACCGACGATAAAGCCCGCGTCCTCCTACATGCCACGATGCAGGCTCCTTCCCTGGTCACGCTTGACCTGACCGGCAATCTCATCACCAATGACGTGGAGGATGACGTCATTTTACTCTTGAACAAAGCCACGCAACTCACGTCGCTGCTTCTCGGGGACAACGGCATTTGCAAGCAGACCCGTAGTGCCATCATCAGAGAGTCCCTGACCCGCCACGACCTCCGCCTCAGTCTTTGATGGAGCGGCTGTCAAACGCAATTATTCTCCTCTGTTAGTATCATGCTGAGACTGTTTTCAGAGGACCGCGGTTCGGATTCCCAATCTGACTCCTATGTACTTCATTATTTTGGAAAGTTTTCAAGGTTTTCATGCAACTTGGTGGGGGTTGTGTTGGAAAATTAATGGACGATAGCTTTGGAGGTTTTGCCTCATGAATTACCCTTGCATTGTTTTTTGTTTTATGAAGAGTTCTACAGCTCTTGCAAAACAAATAAATTCCGGAGATAAGAGGTGTTACAAGAGAGTAACATGCAAGGAAAAGGAAAAGGAATAAGGACGATAGACGTCTGATAGTACAGACGAAGCAAATCACACAAGAGCACGCGCTAACCATCCAATCTTACATTGTTGGCCGAGGCGTTTAATTCATACCATATTATCATATGAATACTTTGACTGTCTAGAAATAACTCCAGCGTTAAAGCTCGATTACAGTGAATCGTGTAGGAAAAACCAGCGTTAATGCCGTATAAGTTAACATTAGTAAGACTAATCACAAGGTAGAAAGGGCGTATTGTTTTCGATTTTGTTCGTTTATCTGAGTTGATAATTCTTTCTTTGTATTCACTTATTTTATACATACTCTAAAGGGCACATGGTGTTTTGTTGAGAGAATGAGTGGGCAGTTGCACACTGCTGCCGTCTTGAGACGCAACAAAATATTCGATGTCTGGCATCACTGGATTTCTCCGGCTCAGAATTAAAACTATCTGAAAATCAAGTCTACGTATAATCTATTACAGTTGCTTCACTAATGCGAGCAATGGATTTACGTTGAATTTTTAAAACCGTCTAACCACGAATTGATGACAACGATGACAATGACGACGAACATTATTTATACTGATGATGACGATTGGAGGAGGAGAAGGAGGGACAGGAGTAGGAGGAGACTGTTATTTCTATTTAAATATTTTGTTGACATGTGATATTATAACAAAGTATTATTTTGCATCAACTTAGTCATGTATCTATATACTTGTATTTCAAAACTCCCTTCTAATTATATTTACTGCAAATAACACCCGTACGTGTGTGTACTCATTCGTAGGGCTTGCGGCGTGTGGGAGTGGCCGGGGGT